CCATTATAATTGTCTTATTTCTCATTTTAGAAGTTCTGTTTGTTAAAAAAATATATTCATACAATTTATTAATATTTTAAAACCTCTCTTTTTAAATTGAAGTAGGTTAAGCATACTTATTTCATATTTTTTTTTAGTTGTTCCATTATCTCGAGTTTTGGAGGTTTGATTCTGCTGACTTTTTTCCACTGTTCCCCACACGTGATGTCTTATCTCTGCTATATTTCATGATTTCTAAATGTGAGCAGTTCTTTTTCCTTGTAGTATAATCTGTGGACTTTTTTCCCAAGATCTAAGGAAATGTAGTTTTCCCCAGAAATCATGTGTATTTGATCCAATCAAACGCCTGGAGGGAACATGGTAGCACCACCTGAATTAACTTTAAACTAGCGGCTTTTTGAGCCACCCGCACGTGTCAGTTCAGGCAGAAAACCAGCCTGAGGACTGGCTTAGTGGACACTTAGGCCGTCCTTCTCCGTCTTTCTCCGTTTTCCGTACAGTAGTTTTCTTTGTGCTCCCTCATGTTTAGCCTGAGGGCATAGTCTTTTGAGACCCCAATTTATCCAGTCTCTCCTATTAGACTAAAACTTTGTATAAACACTTGGACTTTGCCATCTTTCCTTTACAAGGCTATAAATAGATAATGAAGGCATTAAACATATATTAATACATGTGATAAAGTTGCACAGGACTGCATACACATACACATCACATGATGAAACTGGAGAAATCTAAGATTGGTGAATTTGATCAATATTACTATCCTGGTTGTGATCCTGTACTGTCTTACAAGATGTTATCTTGGGATTAACTGAGAAAAGAGAACAACGGTTCTCTCTATATTATCCCTCATAACTGTATAATTTACAACTAAACCAGTGAAAATTTTTCCCAAAAAAAGAGAATGAAGAAGGCATGTGGAGCTGGCAGGTGGTGTGGTGGTTGGGGGCGCTGGACTCTCACATGGCCGACTGTGGTTCGAGCCCTGGATCTGGTGGCTTGCTTTCTCACTTTCTCTCTCTCTCATTCTGTCTCTATCTGGTCAAATTTAAAAAATGAAGTTAAATAAAATAATTTTTAAAAAGAAGGCGAGCGAAGTATGATTTCACTGATATAAAATTATGTATGTGTGTGAGGTGCACATACAGATGTTTGAAATTCACCAAAATATGAACAATGGTTTATCCTAGGTGGCCAGTCTTGGAGCAATTAATCCTCTCTGAGTCATTGTGAAGTTCAAGGTGCCATCCCTGCTGTGGTCCTCCTCACACTTCTGATGGCCAGGTCCCAGGCTGTCCTTCAACACCATGCCAGGACCCTCAGAAGCACTCAGCTGGGGCAGATGAGCCGGTCCCCCTGCGGGGTGAGCCAGTCGCTGCCATACACAGACTTGTAGCCAGTGTTGGCCAGTTTGATGACCACGAGGGTGCGGGGCTCCCGGGTCAGCAGGGCGGTCACGGCCGCCCGGATCCCTGCCAGCCGTCGCACAAAGATGGATGGGGGGAAAGTGGTGAAGTGGGCTCCCAGACCCAGCACCACCACAGTGTGGGGACCCCCGGCCAGGCCCTCCAGCTCCCGGGCCACAGAGTGCAGAGAGGCCACTGGTGTGCGGAGGGAGCGCAGGGGCCAGCCATGGGCCCTCCAGTGCAGCACTATGCCCCGAGTGGTGTCCACAGCCATCAGGGGCCCCGTCTGATATGTGACATGTAGATCCACCGGCTTCAGGGCTGTTGGGAAGGTGAGAGAGGAGGAATGAGTGATTAATAAAGGACCAAACGCCACCCTCTCATGTAACTAAAAGTTCCAGTTTCACTTGCTTCCAGGACATAAGCATTCTTTACTAAAAAATTTATTTGTATTTAATCACTGTACATCTCTACAGCAAAAAAATGTTTGTTTTTTTACAGCATGAATATAGTGTGTATTTGTCAACTCGGAGATATTACTTTACCATGTACATTTTCATCAGTAGAGTATTTTCATTTTTGTTTCTATAAAATATTTTTCCCTCCTGATCCCCTCCCTCCCTCCCCGTTACCCATCCCCTCCTATACTGTTTCTAGTAGCCTCAGTTTTCCCTCCCAGTTATTACCATTCAGTTTCTGCCATAGTGCTGGTGTTCAGTATATATTAAGTGAGGACACACAATGCCTGTCTTTTATGGTCTGGCTTTCTTCACTTAGCACTGAATCTTCCATATTCATCTACTTTGCATCAGATGTCAGGGTCTCATTGTTCTTTATGGCCGAGTAGTATTCCATAGTGTATATGTGCCACATTTTTTCAGTCCATTCATCTGTTCTTGAACCTTTGGACTGATTCCAGGACATAAGCATCTGTCCCCACACTCTAATGCCCCATTTTCAAATGGTCAAGATTGCCAAAGATGCCACTACTATGCATCCAAACTCCTTTTAAGTTTGCTTTTAAACCTCCATGGCATTTGATTTCCATGCACTGATAAACTCCTTCTGAAAGCCTCTTTTCTTGTTGCCATCTATAACACTACATTATCCAATTTTTTTCTGGCCATTTGGTTAATTATTTGCTTCATATTTTGCTTGCATTGTCAATGAAGGCATTCTCTAATATTCATCATCTTCTTTTTTGCAATAGGACGTGCGCACTCTCCAGAAAGACAGAGAGAGACAGAGAGACAGAAAGCAAGAAATCATCCCCCCAGGGGGGATGGCCACACCACAATCCCTTCTCCTCCTTTCTGCCCTCGGAATCTTGGGTACGCACGCACACATGCCCAGCGTGAGTTTAAGCCACCGAGTCCAGGAATCAAACCACAGTCGACTATGTGGGAGTCTAGTAACATAGACATTATACCAACTGCTGGTCCCCAAAAATACATACTTTAAACAACATAGTTTGTTGAAGACTCCCTTGTTCACTGCTGTTGAAAATTTTTATAAAAAATGATTTATTTAATTTTATTTATTATTATTATTATTATGTTTTAATTTGACCAGAAAGAGAAAGAGAGGGGGAAAGTGAGAAAGCAAGCTGACAGGTCTAGGACTACAACTCTGGTCTGCTATGTGGGAGTCCAGCACCTTAACCACCATGTCACCTGCTGGCCCCACTGTTGAAAATTTCAAATGGAAAAAAAAAAAAGAAAGAAAATTTCAAATGGAGAATTTGGGTTGTGTCAAACAAATTTACATTTGCATTTATTACTTCACACATGCTAGGAGTCTATCTAATAATATCCCTGAACAAACTGTAAATATTGTATTTGTAAATTTACTAATATTATTTATTTATTTATTTATTTTTGCTATAGGGCGCGTGCGCTCACCAGACAGAGAGACAGAAAGCGAGAAATCACTCCCCAGGGGGGATGGCCACGCCACAATCCCTTCTCCTCCATTCTCCTCTCGGGATCTTGGGCACGCACACACATACGCCCAGTGTGAGTTTTAAGCCACTGGGTCCAGGATGTGAACCACGGTTGACTACATGGGAGTCCAGCGACATAGCCATTACGCTAACTGCTGGTCCCGATTTACTAACATTATTAGTAGCATTGTTTGTAAAGTCAAAATTTGAATAAAAGTAGGTGTCCAGCAATATGGGACATTATACAATGAGTCTTCTATAGCCATAAAAATGAATGTAGTAAGATCTAACAGTATGCTGTCTATGAGAGGATAACTTTAGCATTGGAAACACACATAGGGCCCAGCCTCTGTGGTGCAGTCAGCACCATATCAGACTGCAGAGCTGGAAGTCACGTGAAATGGTGGTTTGAGTCCCCAGCCTAGTCAACCTAAAAACACATCAGGTATGTGTGCTGGTAGGCTGGATGGTAGGCTGGAGGACTGGAAAAAGGAATTGCTACGTGACAGAGCCCTGTGGAGCGTGCTTCTCGCTCGCTCACTCTCCTACATGCACACGTGCTCTATCATGGACTTTAAAGAGAGTGAGAACATCAAGAACTCTAACACACATAGACTGAAAGTGAACAAATGGGAAAAGATATTCCACGAATAATGGTAACCAAACAATCTCAGGGGTGGCTATACTTATATCAGACAAAATAGATTTTCAGTCAAAATCTGTCACTGGCGGGAACCAGCAGTTAGCATAATGGCTATGTCGCTGGACTCCCACGTAGTCGACTGTGGTTCGCGTCCCGGACCTGGTGGCTTAAAACTCACACCGGGAACCCCCCCAAAAAAAAAAAAAAATCTGTCACTGGAGACAAAGAAGGTCACTACAGGATGATAAAGGGGTTAAGAAGATGGACCAGCAGGAGGAGTGGAGGTCGGAGCAGCTCTATCCTGTAGGGCTGACTGGAGCTGTTCAAGTCCCAAATTTGGCGACTTGAGAATCATGCTGGGTGCATACGTGTGTGTGCCCAAAGTCCTCACAGGAGAATGGAGAAGGGATTGTGGCATAGCCTTTCCCACTGAGGGGTGCTTTCTCACTCCCCGGCCCCTCTTGCTCTGGTAAGCACTTGGGCTCTATAGCAAAAACAAAACGAGAACAAAAAATAAAGAAGCCATAACAATTGCAATTATACATGTCCCCAACATCAGGGTACCTAAATATATAAAACAAATAGTAACAGAACTGAAGGAAGAAATAGCAATACAGTAGTAGTTCGGGACTTCAATACCCCACTTTCAACAATGAAGAGATTATCCACATAGAAACTTAAGGAAAGAGCAAACTTGGAAAGCACTACAGACCGAACGCTCAAAACAGACATGCACAGAGCATTCCATCAAATAGCAGAATACACATTTTTTTTTTTTTGTTGCCATGAAGCACCTGTGCCCGCGTGCAAGAGAGAAATAGAGACTGTGAAAATGAAAGTGAGAAATCACCCTCTGGGAGGATGGTCACGCTGCAGTCCCTTCTCCTTCATTCTCCTCTTGGGATTTTGGGCACATACCATGTGTGCCCAGCCTGATTTTCTAAGCTGCTGGGTCCAGAACTTGGACTGCGGTTGGCCATATGGGAATTCAGTGCCTTAACCACCATGCCACCAGCTGGTCCACAAGCTCATTCTCCAGAATAGGTTATGAGTTAGGTCACAAAACAAGTCTTAACACATTTAAGAAGATTAAAATTATCCTACTTATCTTTCTAACCATAATGGTATAAAGCAAATCAATGAAAGGAGGAATATTGAAAAAATTAATAAATACTTAGAAATTAAACAACACACTCCTGAACAACCTATAAATAAAGTATAAATTGAGAGGGAACTGAAGAGTATCTTGAGACAAATCAGAATGGAAACACAACATATCAAAAATTATGGGTTCGGGGGACCACCAGATGACATAATGGTTATGTTGCTGGACTCCCACATAGCCGACTGCAATTTGAGTCCCAGACCTGGCGACTTAAACTCACACACTGGTGGGTGCATGTGCCCTGTAGCAAACTTGAATAATAATAATAATATTAATAGATAAAATAAGTGATTTTAAAGAAAGAGTTAGAGGGCAAGCTAAAAGTCACCATAAAGAAGCAACTGGACAAATTCAGAACATAGAAAGTTAAGATTTGTCAAGGCAACTGGCCCTGACTCTTTCATAAATAAAAGTGAAAAAAAAAAAAAAAAAAGACTGGTTTAGATCTAAAGAAGTCAAAGGATGAAACAAACAGGTCCTAGAATGCATCTTAACATTGAAAACGATTCTATTCTTAGTATTTACCTAAAGGAATTGAAAGCTTAGTCTATACAAAAACTTACTCATGGGACCAGCAGGTGCTGGATGCTCCTACATGGTCGACCATGGTTTGAGTCCCAGACCCGGTTGCTTCCTTTCTCACTTTTCCTCTTTCACTTTCCTTCTCTGTGTCTCTCTCTGGCCAAATTAAAATAAATGAATGAATAAATAAAATGAAATAAATAATTATTTTTAAAAACCTTACTCATGAATTTGTTTGGTTTTGGATAGGGGTTTTTTGCCTTAGGACATGTGTACTCACTATAGAAAGAGAGACAGAGATGGTGAGAGGAAAGTGAGAAATCACCCTTCGGGGGAATGGCCACACTGCAGTCCTTTTTCCTCCATCCTCCTCCCAGGATCTTGGGCATGCACACAGACGTGTCGGGCATGAGTTTCAAGTCACTGGGTCCAGACTTGAACCATGGTCAGCCATGTGGGAATCCAGTGACAACCACTATACAATACGCAAATCCCTGAACGTGGACATTTAAGACAGTTTACTTATAACTGCCAAAACTTGGAAGCAACTAATACATCCTTTAGTAGATTAATGAATAAACTGTAGTACAGACAATGAAATATCATTTGTGGCTAAAATGAAATGACCCATCAAGCCATGAGAAGACCTGGAGGAACCTTAAGTGCATATCACCAAAATGCTGAAAGAAGTCAATCTGAGAAGGCTGCGTTCTGCAGGAGTCTAATTATTGATATTCTGGAAGAGATAAAACTATAGAGATAGTAAAAAGATCTGTGATTGCCAAGGATTGGTAGTATGGGAGGGAAGAATGAATAGTGGAACATCAAGGATTTTTTTTTTTTTTTGTAGATTTTTGCCATAGGGCATGAGGGTGAACCAGAGAGAGATGTGGAGAGAGGGAAAGTGAGAAATACCCCCCCTCCCAGGGGATGGGGGAGGAGTAGTTGGCCACACTATAATCCCTTCTCCTTCATTCGCCCCTTGGCATTTTGGACATGCCTGCACACTCCCTGTATTTTCAAGGCACCAAGTCTGGGACTCAAACTGTAGTCTGCCATGTGGGATCCAGCACCTCCACTACCATGCCACCTGCTGACCCAAGCACAGAGGATTTTTATAAAGTGAAAATATTCCTTATGATGCTATAATGGTGGATCCATGTCATTATACATTTGTCCAAACCCAGCACTGAGAGTGAACCTTCGTGTGAACTATGGACTTTCAGTGACGAGGATGAATGATAATGATATGCCAATGTTCGTTGACTGTAACAAATGCACCTTTGGAATGGAAGATGTTGATAATGTGAGAGGTTATGTAAGTACGGGAGCAGGGGAGAAGCCCAGGGTTTTTTTTTTTTTTACAATTATTTTTATTTAACTGTATTTATTTATTAACTATCTATAATTTGACCAGAAAAGGACAGAAAGAAAGAGAGAAGAAAAAAGAGAGAGAGAGGGGGGGGGGAAGTGAGAAAGCAAGCAGTCAGGTCGGAGACATGAACTGTTGTCAGCCATGTGGGAGTCCAGCGCCCTTAACCACAACGCCACCTGCTGGCCCCTGCCTAGCGTTTTTAATTGTGTTTGGCTTCTATTGTATATATTCATGGTATACAATATAAAGTTTTGATAACAAGACAAAAAAATAATTGAGGAAATGGGGGACAAAAGTTTGTGCTTTATGCCCTTTCCTTTTTTGGGGGTGGTGGTGGAATTTTTTTGCCTTAGGGCATGAGCACTTGCCAGAGAGAGAGAGAGACAGAGAAGGTGAGAGGGAAAGTGAGAAACCACCTTTGGGGGATGACCATGTCAAAATTCCTTCTTTTTTTTTTTTTTTTTTTTTTGAGAGGTTTTCACTATAGGGTGCGTGCGCTCGCCAGACAGAGAAAGACAGAGAGACAGAAAGTGAGAAATCACCCCCCAGGGGGATGGCCATGCAATCCCTTCTCCTCCATTCTGGGGCATGCACGCACCGGCGCCCAGCGTGAGTTCTAAGCCACCTGGTCCGGGACGTGAACCGCGGTCGACTACGTGGGAGTCCAGCGACATAGCCATTATGCTAACTGCTGGTCCCTTTAATTTTAGTTTTTAGAGAGAGATTTTTGCTACAGGGCACGTGAACTTGCAAGGACAGACAGAGAGAGAGATGGAGAGACAGAAAGTGAGAAATCCCCCCTCTCCCCAAGAAGGCTGGCCATGCTGAGATCCCTTTTCCAGTCTCCCCTTGGGATCTTGGGCACACATGCACATGCACCCAGCATGAGTTTTAAGCTGCTGGGTCTGGGCCTCAAACCATAGTTGACTATGTGGGAATCTAGCAATGTAACCATTATGCCATCTGCTGGTCCCCACAATCCCTTCACCTCCATTCTCTTCCTGGGATCTGCACACAGGTATGTGTGCTCAGGGGGGTTTTAAAGCCACTGGGTCTGGGACTTGAACTGTGATGAACCATGTGCGACTTCCGTGAAGAAACTGGCATGACATCTGCTGGTCCCAACTTTTTTTTTTTTTTTTTTTTCCCTCAGAGAGATTTTTGCTCTAGGTCATATGCACTTGCTAGAGAGACAGAGAAACAGAAATTGAGAAATCACCCCCCCAGGAGGGATGGCCATGCTGCAATCCCTTCTCCATTCTCCTCTCAGGACTTTGGGCATGCACGTGCGTGCACCCGGCGTGTTCAAAGGCGGGGTCTGGGACTCGAAATACTGTCGGCCATGTTGGAGTCCAGTGCCTAAACCACTATGCCACCTGCTGGTCCCTGTCCTTCATATTTTAATTTTACTTAAAAGACAAAGTGGGGATTTTATTTAGAAAGTAAGTGGGGACTTTTGCTGTGGTGACACATTGTATGATTTGATAGAGTTTGATGCTGTCGTTTGAGCCGGTTACATAACTCTGGCTAACAAACTGGAAAGGTAGCTTGGTGGTAACAATCACACCCTCCCAGCCCTGATTCCTTCACGTGCCCTTCAGAAAGTCCCAGCATCCTCCCCACCTCTCCACCGAGCACAGGAGTCACTCTTCAAAGCCTTTCCTGTTCACCCCTTCCTTCATGAGCCCTCAGGAGTCCCAGGCCTCCCTCACGGTCGGTCACTCACAGGGCACGGTGTCCCGGAGATACTCCCACCACTGCCGAAGCGTGGAGTCCCCCATCATGTGGATGACGTGGCCAGCCAGGCAGCCCCGGGGGC